TTTCTACGGCAATAGTAGTTCGACTGTTGTGTGCGTGCGCTGCTAAAACAGAAAAATAGATTTTGATTGTTTTGAAATATTTTGCGCCTGCTAACAAAAATTGCAAACAGAACAAATATTTCTAGTAGTAAAGTGATGGAAAAATTTTACAGTTTTATATTTATTGCATATTTAAACGCTGGTTCATTATATACATCTATTTAAAATTATAAAATTAAACCATAAAAAATTATGTAATTTTTTGCTAATTTTTGTGTTTTAACAAAGTTTAAAGAAATTTAAATAATAATCATCACATATGCAGATGTTGTTTACTTGATTTCCAGAGACCAACTGAGAAAATAAAAGAAAATAAAAATTAAATTCCCTTTTAAAGTTGACTAATTTCAAAATATAAACAGGTTTGTGCATGATTTTTATTTAAAAAAAAAAAAAAAAATCCTTCAGATAATGTGCAGAGTTGTCGCAAAAATTTCTTACAAAAGTACTGAAAATGGGATCAAAATGACAGAGCAAAAAATATCAGAAAATGTGCAGACTATTCTGTTAAATATCTAAAGAAAATTTATATTATTCGCTTAATTGTCTGACGAAGTTACAAAAACAATTCTCTTCAGATTATGTGCGGATTAATCGGATATTTCTTCAGAAAATGTACAGACTATTCTTCTTTATGTCTAAAAAAATAATATAGGAATAAAAAAAAACAAATTGTCCTCCCCCAATGTACAGATTAGTCTCATAATTGTCGTAACACTGAAATTTCCTTGTGTAGACAAGTCTGATGTTAATCGTTTGATACTTGAGAAAATGTGCAGAAAAGTCTAATAAACAGTTTGCCGATTATTCTGTAAAATGTCTAAAGGAAATTTATAATTTCGTTAAAAATTCTGATAAAATATAAAAATTATTTCAGAAAATTTCTGACATCAGACATGTCTGAAAAAATTGTTTACTGAACAAAAAATTAAAATTTTTGAAATTTGTATGGAAATGATATGGATTATTTTACTAAACGTTTATTTACTTGAGATTCCCTCATTGTTTCATTCTGAATTTTTTATATATTGTTATATTTTATATACTGTTAAGCAATCTTATGTAAAGAATTAAATAAAATTGAAGGTACCTTTTTGAGATATAAAATATTGTCAAACTATAAGGCATAGACTTTAATTAATTTATCTAATTTTACACTTCAATTACAATTACAAGATTCTTCAATTACAATTATAAGTAATTGTAGAACTTCATTAAAAGTAATTGCAGAACTTCAATTACAATTACAAGTAATTATAATTGGTAAATCTTCAATTACAATTACTTCAAATGAAAATGTAGTCATTACCCCCCATGCCTGATTATTATCATACATAATATATTAGATAATCAATGGATTTGGACCTAGAAAAAATGTTTAGTGGGGTATAAATCTATATATTATAACAAAATAATCTGGGTTTTTGGTCATTTTGTATTGATACACAAAAACTACATTACGGAAACCCCATCTATTTGGAGAGTACTGTGTGAATTTTATTTAGAATTGTAGAATATTGATTCTTATTCAATAACTCTAACACTAAGTACCATCCTAGCCACTAAGTAAAATCTTGATTTTCTACCTCATATTTAAAATGCTTTATTTTATGAATAAGATACAGTAGGCGTATTTGGTTATTCTTGATTTGGGTTCTAAATATATATAAGTGTATGTATTAGCTGATTGCTTTTGTTGACCTTAGGTGATGATAACCACCTCTATTTGAAAATATCTAAATTAGGTATTTTTCCTGTACCACACGACAGTTCACTTTACTTTGTTTCCAAGCAACCTAAGGTCTGTTTAGAGGTCTAAATTTAAACATAGTGTTCTTTTCAGTTCGTATATGGATTTTGGAGAAGATACATTAGAAGTTCAATGGTTTTCCTTGGATACATGTCACCCCCTTTGGCAGTTAAAGATTTTAAAATACCACTCAGTGCGATTTTTCAAATAACTTTTTGAGTCATTTCATCAGTATTTTCATTTTATATTTTTTAATAATATTGATTAAACAACTCATAGTTGAATTTCACAGATTTACACTTGTTCTAGAAATCAAAACTAATTTTTCATATCGAAATTGCCTCAATATTTTCCTTTAAACATTTTTAACGCAAATAACTTCACAGTTTTACACAATGAGGATATGATTTTTGCAAATTACAATTGCAAAATACTTAACACGTGTCCCTTTAACAATAAAACAATAAATTCCAAAAAATAATTTGAAAACCCCAACGAAATTAACTCGAATTCTAAAAGTGCAAAATACTTTATTGACCTGCAAATACTGATGAAAAATTATAAAATGCAACAACAAATGCACCAAAATTTTTATTTTCATATTTTTTCATGGTTTTCCCATTTTACACAATCTCTATTTTTAATTGGAAAACATAAATTTACTTTTTACCTGTTTTATTTATGAACAAAAAACAAAATTCTCTTAAAATTAGGTAGGCAAAAAACTTAGTTGATTCACTGTATTTATTTTTCTTAAAAGTTCTTTTTTATTGCCAAAAATCTTTTTTGGGAAACTTTTGATTTTGTGTGTGGAAGAAAGAGATGGTTGATATTCCCTGTGTGTACCGACAATTAATGTAGGTTCATTATTTGTTTATGAATATCATGATTTTATTAATGTAAAAAGTTGTGATTTTCAAAAAACTTACCGTTTGATTCACGCAATTTGATGTGTCGCCAAGGCGCTTTAAGGCTAAAGAGTACTTTAAATATTGTGTGCATTAAAACCAAAATAAGAATTTTTTATGAATACAAGCGTACGTGTTTGTTAAATAAAGAGCTGTTATCATAATTTAAACTAATTGGCGCTTTTATTAGCAATAAAATGAATCCGGTTCATTTCAAACGAAACTAAACCAACGTTTTAAAAGATAAAATGTACCCAGTAAAAACTTTCATTACTATGTAAGGGGTTAAAATGCTAAAATTTACTTACACAATAGCATTTTAAGTCATTATTTTAACACGGTGATGTCATTGGAGGCAAGTACTTACCACAAACGATTAGAAGTAATTAGAAAAAGTAGTCATTCTAAATCGCATGAAAAAACGTATACAGCTACTATATCTTCTTTGGCAAGATGACTAATGAATTAGAAAGTATTTATGTAACACATTATTAGTAAGACATTATTAAACTACTTCTATGTTATCCCGACGATATGTAGTAGTCATTGAAAAGTATGTTGTTAGGTAAGTAATTGCAATTGATAGCAATTACCCAGTTTTTGCCGGTTATGTTTCCACATCAAAAAAAATTAAGAAATTTTAAGTTTTTTTCAGTTTACTTTGAAATTTTGTATCTGGCAATTTGTTTTTGCTTCTCAAATTTACAGGCCAACACAGGGTGTTTACATTTTCAAAATTTGGCAACATTTCAAGCAAAAACTCAATAATGGGTTGTACTTCCATAACTACTTACTTTTCAATGACTACTACTTACCGTCTGCATTACTTTGAAGTACTCTTCTTATAATCTGATATAGAAGTACTTTATTTTCGGCTTCGTCATTTTGTTTGCACATTTTATTTAATTGCGTGTTAAGAATTGTGTTTTACAAAAAAGGAAACAAAATTAAATTGGTATATGAAAACCATTATTTGAGGCGCAATAAAATAGCTAAGTAGTGGTACAGTGAGTAGAACATTTGACCCAGAAACCGAAGTCCCTGGTTCGTATTCTAGCTGGCACTTTTTACTATTTAAAAATAAAACAACTTCTTTGTAAGAGAAATTGCAAGTGGAAGTATTTGCCTCCAATGACATCACCATGTTAAAATAATGACTTAAAATGCTAATGAAGAAGTAGTGAAAAGAGGTTTTATTAGTTTTTTAACTCATTACTTTTCAATGTAAGTTTGTTACTTAATTTTTAAGTAGGTATATCTATCGCTACTTATAAAATGTATACCTACTTAAATTTGTTCTGAAAATTTATATAAACTTCGAAAAAAACACAACTATTATTAAAGATATTTTCAGACTACAATATTGAGTATAAACACACTTCAAATTAAAAATATTATGAAAATAATTCGGATTTTAAAAAAATCAATCCCAAAAATACATTTTATGTTTGGACTTTAATGATGAAACAGAACACGACTGTAACTTCAAGCAAAAATGGTGCCAAAACGACATAAACCCACAATTAAAGCTTCGGCAGTAACTAAAAATTCTCTCATATTTCTATTTTTTATCTCCTGTTTTTATTTTTCGTTGCCTATTTACATGGTTTTGTTTATAAAATATATGAAAATATTTTGAAAGGAAGGTAACGCTGTTGAGAGAATGCATACCTAAAAACGCTCTCAAAATAAAATAAAATCTATTTTTACAAGCGCCTTCTCCGACTTCAAAAAATGGCAATTTGTATGCAAAAAAGCGCTATGCCAAATTTTTCAATTGTCTATGCACTTTTCGTTCTTATCTTTAATATTTGTTAGTTTTTTATTGTATTTATAAAATACATACCGAATACGATTGAAAATAAAAAGTTTTTGAGTTCTTTTAAAAAATTTATGAATACCAAAAAAATCAGTAATATTTTTTAAAATCAAACTACAAATTATGTTTAGACTAGAAAATTGTATTATGATACAAACAATTTTGCATATTTGCAAAAAATTTCAATAGTTATATATATTCCTAATGTAAATACATATGTATGTGCATATATACTGAAATAGTTCCACGACATTCAATTTAAAAATAATAAAAACAATTAATTTTTTGAGTAAAAATATATCCGATAACCGTTCAGCAATAAAAATGTATTGTTACCCCAAGTTATAGCAATAAAGCATATAGATAAGCGCTCAAAGCCCATAAATATAAAGGATATCTTAACAACAATGTAGAGTATATGTGATAACAATGGGTCTGAATGTGAGTATATAAGAAGTGCTGGGAATTCTAAGACAGTTAGTTTTTTTTTTAAAAAGAGAAAAAAGTGTGGAGAAATGAAAAAGTTAATAATATTGAGTTTGTTTATTTTGGAAATTACAGCCAATCCTACACCGAGGAGATTCGTATCTACAGTAGGTTTAATACAATTTTTTGTAAAACGAATAAAATTCTGAAAAAAGTCTTTAATTATATTACACTTCAGACCATTCGTTTTATAAAAACATCGTATAAAATGCATTTTTGTTAATTTATTCAGATGGTATATATATGTACATGCATATACATATATGAATATTTTTTAGGCTGAAAGAGTTACTGGCCATGGTTATCCTTTGGAAGAACATAAAGTTCAAACAAGTGACGGTTACGTATTAACTATGTTTAGAATTCCGTATTCTCCGACATTGAACAACAAATATGAGACTAATAAGAAAGTAGTATTTTTAATGCATGGGTTACTTAGTTCATCAGATTCTTGGGTTCTAAATGGACCTAATGATGCAATGGCGTTTATGATGGCAGATGCTGGATATGATGTGTGGATGGGAAATGCTCGTGGTAATGTATACTCTAAGAAACATGCCTCAATATCTCCTTTGCTACCTTCATTTTGGGACTTCGATTGGCATGAAATTGCATTATATGACTTGCCTGCAATGATCGATTATACACTTTATCAAACCGGGCAAGATGGAATTCACTACATTGGTCATTCCCAAGGCACCACCGTTTTCATGGTCTTGCTTTCAACTATTCCTAGATACAATGAAAAAATAAAAACATCTCACCTTCTGGCCCCTGTAGGGTTTATGAATAATATGCAGTCCCCACTTGCAAAAATTGCTGCCCCATTTTTAGGCCATCCCAGTTTGTTGGCTGAACTTATAGGGAGCTCCGAATTTATGCCTAGCAACAAGTTGATTACTATGTTAGGCCCAGAAATATGCCAGGAAAAATCTCCTTTCATTCCAATGTGTAGTAATATTTTATTTTTAATTGGTGGGTGGGACTCTTCCCATTTTAACTATGTAAGTATACATACATAGATCGTTATTTTATTTAAATAGGCTTTATTATTTTTATTTGGTTTTTAAATTGCATAAAAAAGACTTTAATGGAGGACACAATGGAAACACATCCCGCTGGTTCATCTACTGGTCAACTAATCCACTACCTACAGGAGTATGAGTCCGGCTTTTTTAGAAACTATGACCATGGAAGAATAAGAAACAAGAAAATATACGGCACCAAAGTAGCACCAGATTATTTCGTTCAAAACATTCACCCATCAACCCCAATAAATTTTTTCTATAGCGACAACGATTATTTTTCAGCCGTAGAAGATGTACATCGTATGGCTGATATCTTAGGAAAACATGTTAAGCTATTTCGCGTCAGTTATACTGATTATAATCATTTAGACTTTTTATGGGCCATCGATATTAAAGACGTTATTAATGCTTGTGTTGTAGATTTAGTTAATGAATATGAAAATAGACCATTTAAGGGTAACTTATGTAAATATTTCATATAGATAATGTAAACTTTAAAAATTTTAAATTAAAAAACACTAGTTTTTAGTCGACTTTATCGATTTCGACGTTTAGGTAGGTTAAAATTTGCATCCTTAATTAGGTATAAAAAGCTTTTTCTTAATGTTTGAGAAAACAATTATTTGAAGAGTTTAAAGTTGCTTGAATTTTTGTAATTTTTTTTATATTCACTTTTTGATGAATATTATGGGACATAGTTTTGTGGAGTACATACTATTTTTATACCAACCATCAGATTGATTTGGTCATTCCGTTTGAAACACTTCGAATATTTTAGATCCTTATTAAATTTTATTACGATCTAGCCATGTCCGTCCATCTGTCTATTATAGACAGACGGACGGACAAGTATAGCCAGGAAATTCAAAACAAACTAGATTTATAGGAACCAAAATCGCCTTCCCACAATTAGTTCATAATTGACCCTATAATCATTCAATAATGATAAAATTAGACAAAAATTACTTTTTGGAAGATATTGTTCACTGCATCAAACTCTGTAAAGCCCCCTCCATAATTTAATCAAGCACACATTAAACTCCTAAGACATTATTTTTTACTTTCCATATATAGGACCAACTTCCGAAATTTGGCTTAGCCGAATATAAAACACTCTTACTTGTTTTTACTAATTTTACTATTTCGTAAATTTTTTTAAGTTTTCAGTTTTTGCACACAAAACATTTTAAAAGAAGGTAAGCTTTTCAAATGAAATTATTCTTCTCTTTTCCTATTTTTGGCCTGAATATTTGTTTACTTTTGTAAATTTGTTCTATATTACATACCTGTGGGTGCGAATGCGTTTTCTGATTCCAAGAGAAAATGTAAATTAAATAGAATGCGGTAGGTAAACTGAATAACTATTCGTAAAATTTTTGGTTTGTAATAGAGAAAATTTATTATTATATAAAACTTGAATTTTGTATGAAAATCTTTTTCAGGAAAATTTTCCCATAAAAGTTAATTTTGAACATGACATGGTCAAGAGCTGCCGGACTTAGAGGGGGTCAAAGTTGGACATTTTGGTCATACAGGGTTTTATTGAAATGAGCGTAATTTTTCACCTATTGGCCCTAGCAAAAATTGTCCAAAGAAGTTCAGATAGCTTTTTCTTCCAAAAAAAATTTTGTAATTTTTAAAATTTTTTTTATTTTTTTTTTTAAATGGGCCCTTTTTATTTATTTTTTTTTTGTTTTTTGCTTAAAAGATTTACTTAAAGGGCTTTATAGTACCATAATGGGATGCGAGTGGGATATCTATCATATATGTATAATAATATATTTATCCAATTTTATTCATTTTAGAAATTAATCCCTATGTGTAGTAGTTTGACAATATTTTATTTAAAATATTATGGTTTCAAAATAAGGATAATTATAACAAAAAATGTCCTTGCATCAAGGTTATCTTAAAAACGGTATCTCCCATTTTCATTATTCCTTCACTGAAAATAGTTTATATTATCAACAACAACATATAAAAAAAATCCGAATTAGACCATGAACCAATAAACCAAACGATATTATAACAGAGGAACTCAATATTGTCATTTTATAGCACGCGTTATAGAGTAAGAAAATTCTGCTGACGCTAAATTGATACACATACAGTATAGATTTAATTCTTCTTCTTTTTATAATGAGCAATATCAGTTGGTTTTTAAAATACACACAGAAATACAACAACAAAATCTTGAGAAAGCCGAATTAATGTAGAACATGAGAGAACAGTTGATAGTTTTTTATATATAGACTTTGATATACGCTGGCTGTCAAAATCCATAATAAGTATTTGACAGTTAGCATATACTTCATAGTTTCTTCATTTTATTAGTATACTTTTATTTTGAATTGAATTCTGTTCTTTGCCCAGCAGTTCGGGCGGACAGTCCCGAACTCCCTATTTAGCCTACCACATAGGGTTACCCCTAGCCACCGACTGTCCAGGTGACTAGCTATTTTAACATGTGCTTGTCCTACGAGGAAGTCAATCGTCACCCCATAGGTTACAAAGAGACAGACAAGTGTTTTTTAAGTGTCCCCTCTCTCGCTTACAAAAGGGCACTAAAGTGACGATTACCTTCACCCTCGTTTACAAAGAGTACATCCGTGACGAAAGACGAATTAGAGCCCACCAGGTGGTTTAATATAAGTGGAAATCACTGTCTTTTTCCTATGCATTGACTCTTTGTCGAACTGCAGGGTGCTGCTTTACCAACACAAATAAAACAATGGTAGTAACAATGGTTATAAAAATATCGAAACGATATCACTTAGATTATAAAAAATAAGTGATAGTCGTTCTCGTATCTAGAACGATAGTATTTACGTACTTAATGGTACCTTTTCTTATGATATCGTTTTCCCCAGAAATTATGTATCCTTTTTGATATCATAACTTCTAAAATTAACGATAGTAAAATCGCCTTTCCTCAGCTTTTTTTCTGAATGCCATTTGGTACATAAAATTATATTATTTCTGTTTTTATTAAATATTCGCATTCATATTGTATTGCAAAAACGTATTTCATTGTATTTCAAACGTTTGTATTTTCTTTATTTTTTATTTTTTTGGTAACAAAATAATAAAAAATGATATTGTAACAATATCGTTTTCAGTAATAAAATATGATATCATAATCGCCCTTATAGGGCAATATCGTTTTCGCTATCATATCGTTTTTTGGTTTATTGGGAAGGGCTATCTAGAAATCTAATTTTAGTAAAATAATTCATTTTACTTCCGTACAAATTTTAAAATTTTTTATTTTCCTTTTTGATAAATCAAGAAAATTTTAAAATTTCTGGTAGAGTACTACTAACAACTATTAAAATTGAAAGTAAATTAAAATCCACAAAATATAAACATTAATAAATTTAAATATCTTAAACCTTAAGTGTAATTGACATAAATATTTCATTGGATTACATACATATAAAATATTTACGTGAACATTTTTTCTCTAAATTGCTAAACTTTAAATGCCTATAAATTAAAAACGCGAGCTAACTTTTTTAAACCCTTTACTTAATTGATTAAAACAAAAGTGTGATTTCAAAATTATGTGATTATTTATTATTTAAAAATTTCGATGTTAGCAATTCAAACGTCACTTAAATTCTAAATTCTTATTACAATATTTGGCTCTTTTATATGATTTAAAAATAACGGTAAGACTAGTTTAAAATAATGAAAAATAACGATGATATAATTTAAAAGAAAATATTTGATAATTTTGGATGATAGAAATATAAATTAAAATTAAAGCAAAATAAGAATTAAAGTAAGTAACAATGAATTAAGTAATGAGAAGAATTAAAGTTAAATTAAGGAATGTAAATATAAAGAGATAAAGAAAGTATTAGGGTAGCTCGTAAACATGTAACTCTTTGGGGATTTCAGTCTACTGATGGTCTACTTTAATTTCCCATTGGTCTCATTCGGGAAAGATTTTCTTGTTGCACAATGTAATTTAATTTAAACAAATTATAAGATTTATTTTACATTTAGTTTAGTGATCTGTCAAAATTTTGTGTAGAACTGAAGAGATGGAATCTACATGCAATAAATAAATTTATAACAAACAAAATCTGAAATTCCAATTTCTGATACAGTTATTTTGATGCGGTAGAGTTTTGCGATTCGATTTGTATGGTACCCGATTCCCCTGTTTTTTGATGAATTCTGCGGCTCGCCATTTCCGAACCATACAAACCATCTCTCGCACGCTAAACCCGATGACTACTACTTACCGTCTGCATTACTTTAAATACTGATTATTAATACACATACGTATGTGGGTAATTTATCACATCTGCTTTATTGTAACGAATAAATACTATATATAAACACCTGAAATGCAAAAGGACATAACAACCAAAAAATTTTAAATTTACGATTTGCTTAAAAGTTATGAAATGTGTTACCTGTAAAATTTTGAAGTGTTGTTACGCCCTTTTGCATTTTAGGTGATGATTATAACAAAATAATATTGTAAGTTAGTAAATAATAAATAAAATAAATTATATAAAATAAATTATTTGCTGTAAGAATGTATGTATGTATGTAGGTAGGTATATATGTATGTATGTATATATGTATTTATGTACATATGTATGTTTGTATCTATGTTTGAAAATGGACGATTTCACACTTGCTTGCCGGCTATGCGGAATCTTACATATTCATCGCCAACGCATTTCCTGTGCATTTAAAATTATTAAATTATTAAAATTAATTTAAAACAAGTAAGAAATTATAGTCGGGCGAGGCCGACCATATAATACCCTACACCTGTTACAAAAATGAAATGTGATTTTGTTTTCATAATAAAGCACTTAAGTTGAATTGCACCTTGCCTTGAATTATACTTAAGCCATTTATTGTTGAATAAAATTGTGGACATTTAAGTCAAATTTTGAAGGGGGATTTGTATAGGGGCTATGGTCAAATGAGACCCTATGATTATAAAATTCATGAGAGTCATCAAGGCTAGTACAGAACTTGGTTTTGCAGCTTTTTGTCGAGATGCGAGTATATTAAACATAATTATAAATTTAAAATCCCTATTTGCCGGGTTCAGTTGTATCGGGTCTAGATGAAATAATGGACCGATGTTAACCATTTTCAGTAGGCTTTGTCTCCGGTACCATAGAAGATCATCTAGTTTGATTAAAATGTTTACAAGCCCTATTCGGGGGTTCAGTTGTATGGGGGCTAGATGAGAAAATGGACCGATATTAACCATTTTCAGTAGGCTTCGTCTCCGGTACCATAGAAGATCATCTGCCAAATTTCATTGAATTATCTTCAAAATTGCGACCTGTAGTTTGATTACAAGGTTTACAAGCCCTATTCGGGGGTTCAGTTGTATGGGGCCTAGGTGAAATAATGGACCGATATTAACCATTTTCAATAGGCTTCGTCCCTGGAACAATAGAAGATCATGTGCCAAATTTCATTGGATTATCATCAAAATTGCGACCTATAGTTTGATTACAAGGTTTACATGGACGGACAAACGGACGGACAGACGGACGGACATAGCTAAATCGACTCAGAAATTGATTCTAAGCCGATTGGTATACTTTAAGGTGGGTATAGGACCAATATTATTGTGCGTTACAAACATCAGCACAAATCCAATATACCCTCCCCACTAAAGTGGTGTAGGGTATAATCAATATGAGTATTGGAATAATACCTTCATTGGGGGCTTGTATGAATTTTTCACCAAGAACTTCCGAATTTTAAAGAGTAATGCAGTTATTAAAACAAATCATAAAATTAGGTAGGTGGTTTTTGGTTCCTATAAAACAAGTTTTTTTGTTGATTCGACTGAAAGAAAAATTGTGTGCACTGAAAGAAACTAAAGTAAAATGTACTGTCGAATTTTCTTAAAGATGAAATTTATAATATTTTGAAAAATTTTTAGATAATGAATTAAACATTTGGATGGATATTCTATATACTATAAAATGTAAATGTAAAAAATATTTTTTGTGTGCATAAATTCTTTTGAAAATTACAATAAAAGAAGAAAAAATTTTAAAAAAGATACATATCGTCACCTGAAATGCAAAAAGGCGTAACACCCAAAAATTTTAAAATCGTCTTTTTGATTGATAATCGAAATACATGTTGTTGCAAATTTTTAGAACCCAATTGTCAAAGAGTTTATTTAAAATTAAGAATAAATTTTAATGGAGAAAGTGAAGTGAAAACCGGAATTCCACATTTGTAATAACGTGTGAATTTTGATTTCTTTTGAATTTAAAATGTCGTGAAACTTAGAATACAAACAAATAAATCTGTCTACATGAAAATATTCAGATTTTGTGAAAACCATACATACAATCAAATATTTACATAAACAAAATTAAGAAATTAGAAAATTTAATATAGTTCATATAAACTTAAATTATTTACTATTTTATCAAAAATAAATGCTCTTACGCCTAATCCACATATAAAATCAAAATGATTCCATCTTTTTGGTGGTAACTTGTATATCGAACTGATATTTTTTAATCGTGTAATTAATTTCCAAATATCTTCAACCGACACAATATAATCATTTTCTGCATAGAATATGCTAATTGGCACCATGACATTTTCCAAAGTATATTCTGGTGGTACTAGCTGACGGTAGTTTAAATAATTTTGTTCTGGTCCATAATCATATTGACGGAATTTTTTTGACATATAGCCTTGAAAATAGTGCATAATTTGTTTAAATGATCCTCCAACCGGAAAGTTTGCCATAATATCAGGAATAAGAGTCTGTGACAGAAAAAACAACAAAAAAAAATGATTAATATTATATCCATACATAAATAATTGTACTAATTAATAATGTACCAATAGAGTTTGTATCAAGCTACAGGGTATTAGGTATTTTGGATAAATTTAAATTCGATATACTATGTATATTAGAGTGACCGCAAAAAGTAGATGTTGGAATCATCTTCGTCTTAACCCCACAAAATGATTCCCCTTTCCAGATATTGAGATAGCCGAAATCCAAATTTTTGGCCAAAAAGCTAACATATGACGCTATAACTCCAGAACGGTAAATAATAGAAACACACTTAGTACCTCAAAACAAAGCTAATATTGTACTTCAAAATTTATATCATTTACATAATTCTTGTTACTTTAAGTCAAACAGAGTTACAACAGATTTTGTATGCGGTAGGAGCATACTTCGTATATTTTGATATTATGTGATAAATGTTGCTATTTAACATTAACAATAATATTTTACATATTATTGTTAATGAATCGGAATGTACATAGTATTTCAAAAAGATATAAAACACAAAACTTCGTTCAAAAATGTAAAAGTTATTAAAAATTCCCCATTATAAGCCATTAACATGTCTCAGAGCACTTGATTAGGAAAATTTAACTTTGGAAAATATTCTAATAGAACTATTTCATTACATAAATGACCTGTTCTCAGCTATGATCAAAAAAAATATTTTTTTACACGGCAGTTTCAAAACTCCATTTTCAGTTTTTTTAAATGTTTGTTAAACAAATTTTTTTGGAAATATCACCGAGGGATTTATGGCCAATAGATTTGAGAATAAAACAGTGAAAAAATTAGGTCAATACCTCTTATAGTTAAGCTGTACCTGCGATTTGAACTCTGCGAATTTCGCGAAAAACTTATTTTTTGAAATATTTTACAAAATATGTCCTAATTCTTTACTGTTATACATTTTAAACAAAATGTTTACAGAATATTATTTCTTAGATAATATAAAATATGTCGCTGGAGTTATATATTAATCGAGAAATCCTAAGGCGTAATTTTTGGAGGTCAAAGGTCAAATTTTGCAATATTTGGAAATTCTCATTGAAACATATCGAAATATTATTTATTTGTTGGCCATATTTACTAAAATTACAAGAATTTATAGCATATGGTCTGATATTTAAAATAAGAACAAAAAAATTAAAATTAACCCTTTAAAACACTTGGTTCCAATATATTCCCAAAGTTCAATAATGCTCTATATAATTTTAAAAAATAAAGAGTTCATTTTATTTATTTTTTTTTGTAGTTATTTTAAATATCGGACCATATATTAAAATTCCTGTAATTTTAGAAAATATAGCTAACAAATAAATAATATTTCGACATGTTTTAATGAGAATTTCTAAATACTGCTAAATTTAACCTTTGACCTCCAAAGTTTACGCCTTAGGATTTTTCGATTTTTATTAAATATTCAGGGACATATTTTATATTATCTGAGAAATAATATTCTGTAAATATTTTGTTTAAAATGTATAACAGTAAGGAATTAGGGCATATTTTGTAAAATATTACAAACAAATAAGTTTTTCGCGAAATTCGCAGAGTACAAATTGCAAGTATAGCTTTTATTCCCTAATCTATTGACCATAAATCCCCCAGTGATATTTCAAAAATTTTAAAATTTGTTTAAAAAAGATTTAAGAAAACTAAAAATGGAGTTTTAAAACTGTAAAAAATGATTACTATATTTTATGTAAAAAAATAATTTTATTAGAATATTTTCGAAAATAAGTTAAATTTTTTCCGCATTTCCTAATCAAGTGCTCTGAGACACGTTAATGGCCTGGGGAATTTTTAATAACTTTTACATTTTTGAACCAAGTCTTGTGTTTTACATCCTTTTGAAATACTAAATCCATGTACATTATGATTCTTTAACAATAATATGTAAAATATTTACCTAATAGCAACATTTATCACATAATATCAAAATATACGAAGTATGCTCCTACCGCGACCAGGTCTCGTTTTTGGAGACAAAATCTATTGTAACTCTGTTTGACTTTAAGTAACAAGAATTATGTATATAACATAAATTATGAATTACAATATTAGCTCTGTTAGCTTTTTGACCAAAAATTTGGATTTTTTCAAACTTTAATCGAGCTAAAATGTCGGCTATCTCAATATCTGGAAAGGGAACCATTTTGTGGGGTTAAGACAAACAAGATTTCGAGTTGTCGATTAACCCCCTCATTTTATAAAACGAAACTTTTGTTGAAGTATAAAATTTTTGTGAAGAATTATAAAACGAGACCCTAATTATTCAGTTTTTATTTATGAAGGTGACCATATAGGGGGGTAAGGTCAAAAACTTCCACCGATATTATTGATTTTCAATACCAAACAAATTGCAGCAATAAAGAATATTTTTGTTCCCTAACTCATTCCGTTCGGACTCTATCGTGTTTTCAACAGACGGACGGACAAGACTAGATCGTCTTATAATTTAATAAGGACCCAGAATATTTTACTTTTACTTTTGTGGGTCTGTAACCAAAAATTCGATGTGTTATAAACGGAATGACAAAATCAATATACCCCCATCTTTAATGATGGTGGGTATAAAAACTAACAAATATGTTTAAACCAATAAATTAAAATTTCGAAATATTTTCGTAAAGGGATCAAAATTCGAAAACAAGCTCTTGCAACAGGTTTAACAAAAATTTTTTAATTAAAATCAATCAACAATTAAATACATTTCTTTGCGGGAAACTGTAATATGGATAAAAATATTAAACTATTTATGAATGTACCGGGAACAGTGATATGAAAATATGGTGTTTAGATTATTTTATGTTTACCTTTTAACTGTATCAAGAATAACGATATTTTTAATAAGTTTTCTAATAATAATTACTTTGTCCAAGAACTCTTTTAAAGAGTTCTGAGTGTAATATTAAAAAAATTACGATTTTTAAAATATTTCATAGCTTCCTAGAAAAAATAATAAAAGTTACTGTTTAGATGTTAAATTTAGTGCCACCAAAGTTCTTGAAAAAGCACTAAAAAAGCTCTAGGCACTAACACGAAATGTCTTCGCGTCGAAAATTTTTAAAAGCACTAAAAAAAGTGCTAAAAGCACTAAGCTGACAACGCTTTTTATAATACACAGAAATTAGAAAGAAAGTACATAATTTATTATTCATAGTTTAATTTTTTAATAATATTATTAATTAAATAATATTATTATTAATAATTTGTAATAATATTATATATTTTAGTAATAATATTATGGTTTAATTTTATTAATTTTAAAAATAATCTTAAGATTCTATCATTTATTTATGTATACAACCTTAAGAAGTCACAAATAAACACATAAATAATAGAATTATTAAAACCATAATAAATTATATATATCAAAATAGTTTTCATCAGACTATGATCGGAATAGTCAGGTCAATTTCTTATACTCTTTCAGACTTTTTTTCTCGAAAATTCCTTCAGAAATTCACATCAGATTTCGTATCGTATTCTGACCGACAACTCTGCACATTTTTCTGAATTTCCTAAGACAAAGAGTTCCGAATTCTGAGCAACCTTCCATACGATTTTCGTACCGATTTCGGACGGAATTCGGATACGAAATCGGCAACTTGTGCAGACTGTCGGTACGAATTCGGCAAAAATTGTTTAGTGGGTACATACATTTGGAGTTGTAGTTATTAAAAAAAAAAAAACACTAAAAATTAAATTGAAAATTACGTTGAAATAATCTTAAATCTTGGTGAATAGTTATCAAAAAAATGACTAAAAATCGGGCAAAAAGAAGAAAAAATCATTTAAAAAGTGGGTTAAGGAAGTCCTAAATTTTATATTATTGAATTATTTTTCTGAGTTGATTGTTAGGTTCTCAAAACATGTGCAAGCACCCAAAAAACAATACTCACTTTCAACTATTTTCCAGCACTACTGAAAGAAGATGCTAAATGAAAACCACTTTATCTCAAAATTTCGACGTATGAGTAAAAATATAAAAAATGTTAAATAACCACATAAAAAACATATGTTTCATTACATGAGCAAACAAAAAGTATTAATTTGTAAACTTGTCAGAATTATCAAGTATTTTTTCATTAAAAATTATATAAATAATTATTCTAATTGCTTCAAATTTACAGAATAGGAAAAATATGTACATACATTTCAATTCTATGAACTCCTATTAGATTGCAACAAAAAATATGTTAACATTAATTTTAACATGGACAACAAAAGGGGTGTATATCAATAATTATAGTAATATAATAACAAGGCAATTTGTAATACTAATAACTATAGTTAACATTGTCTAGCCCTATAACTCAAAAATATGGGAAATTTTATGTATAAAAATTGCATAAAGGTGATTTAAAAGGACGTCCTTAGAACATTGGCAAATTATACTCTGGTCTCTTATGTTGATCCTGTCCAAGATTTATCCAATTTAGTTAATAACACATGTTTACAACGATTTTGCTCATTATATAAAACCTATATGGATTTCTTAAGTTTGGCCGTCTAAGTCCAGAAAAAATATTTTAAAAAATCTAGGAACGAAAATTTTTGAATTATTCATAAAGAACGAAAATGCTAAAAAGGGTTAAATTAGGAGAAACAAATTTAATATTTAGAGTTGTTGTTATTTTTTATATTAAAAAATTTTACTGGTCTTCCTCACAACTCTCTAACAATGGATTTCTATAACAAAAATATTAAAAATTACGTTGCAATAATCTTAAAACTTGGTGAATAGATGCCATTTTTGTCAATCACACTTCCAAGAGTTTTTCGGAAAAAGTATAAATGGGAATGTAAGAAATGAACTATGAGAGATAAATTCATTTCCGTAAATGTGTAATTGACGAATAAAATGTCAATAATATTATTGATTTTTTAATTTAATAAAAAAATATATAAAAAAACTGACTAAAAATTGAGTCAAAAATTAAGAATTCTGGGTTAAAGA